TATGAAAGCCATCTTTTAAGAAGCAGAGGCAGAAGAATTACTTTTGAGAGCTCTTTCTTAAATTTAAGAACATGTGCTACCTTTTGTTTTCCCAATTGTCTCTGGGGAAAGAAAGGGTGTCAGTGTGGGCTTAACTGCTTCCCCGACCTCTGGCTGCCACAAGCATATTTGAAGGTTAAACCTTTCACAAAGCACAAATGTGCAAGAGGTGAGCTGGATCATGACCGCATTGCTTCCAGTAGGATGACGATCACAGATGCAAAGACCAGAGGGAGAGGTGACTTGGCACCCAACAAAGCCAATGGACAGTTGCTTCCCCCACAAAGCAAACGGGGAAATGAGAAAAGACCTGTGCGACCAAGCCAATTTTGCAGTAAAGAAGCTCACACTTTCCCTTCTTCCTGCTGCAAGAAAGGAGGCAGGCAAGGGAGTGGATGCTTGAACTTTTCTCATGGCCAGCAGCCGTACACTGAGCTGTATTCAATGTCACATAAAATCACTGCCTTGACCTAGGCAAATTCTGCTTTTATAGCTTAAATATATATATGCAGGCACAGTTGTTTAAATTGTCCTTTAAAAGCTGACTCCATTGCACATGTCTTCCAATATATTCAATATATCCAACATATTCACTAATGTTATTAATTAATGTTATTTAATTAATGTTATTAATTAAAGTATTAATGCCTTTGCATAATAAGCATAATGACAAATTTGGAAAATAACAGGAGGAAAATGAGCACAATAGAAAAAATATTACTCACAGCAGCTTGCGAAGGTGATGATGAAGACGGTGTTAAGATACCAATAAGCCCTGAGGTAAGAGAGAGCCTCCTGCTCTCTGCTGTGGTGGACTCCTTGAAAGCCTCCATTTTGGATGACTTAGGGGCATTGGAGTAAGTCTTGCTGAGTAACTTGGGATTCTTCAATCCATCTAATTCTTCCATTCTAAGATTACTGGAGTAGGACCTGCTTAATAGCTTGTGGGGCTTCAAGGTGCTGTTGTGCTCACATCGAGGATCCCCAGAACACGATCTACTCAACAGCTTATGGGGCTTTAAAGTGATGCACTCCTCCTGTTTGACAGCTGCAGAGCAAGAACGGTTCAACAGTTTGTGCGATTTGACAGCCATTGTCTGTTCAGCCCTAGGGTCACTTGACAATGAGCGGCCAAAGCTTCTGTGAGATTTTGTGGCACACATATCTTCTGCCTTCACTGTGCTAGAGCAAGTCCTTCTCAGTAGTTTGTGAGTTTTGGAGATACCATACTGTTCTGACTTCAGTTTTGATTTATTTTTACCACAGCCAGGTGGAGGATAACTTGGCGACCTTAAAAATAAAGGAGAAGAACAAGTTGGAGAATACTCAAAATTTTGTGCAGATCAATCAAGGCAACACATATGTAAAAATTTTTAAGTGTCACCTGTCTTTACGTATTTCACTGGTGATAAATGAAACTCAACTTTAAAAAAATTACCACTTGTATGTAGGACTAATTTTCCAATACCAAATAGACATCTTACTCCTACTTACACACAAGACCATCGATCAAAAAGATAACTAACTACTGAAGTAGAAGTTTGAGCTATATCCTTACCGTTCTTTGTAAAGGTCTCTATGTCACTAAACAAACCATTTATTCAGGAAATTATCTTTGCAATGAAAAACACGTATTTCACATGAGATTATAACACATTTTCCTTATCAAAATCTGTCTTTCCTATGTAATCATCATGCCATGATCCATTAGAGTTACTGTCTTCTGGACACAGCATAACAAATTCTATGTCCAGATCCAATGGAAGATATAATGAGCAATGAAACACACAAGCAGTAAATCTAATTTAATTCATCTGAAATTAACATTATTTTTTAAAAACCTCATAATAATTTGGGTGCTTTGTTGAAGACAATTGGATGCTTTTCTTTCCTGTTTCAGACAAATTCTAGCTCAAGGTTCACATTTGCCTGTCCTTGCACAGCAAAAACATGTAACAGGTATGCTGAGTCATTTTGCTACGTTTCATAAGCAACCCCAATCTTTGGAGTATTTTTTGGGCTTGGATTGAATAGAAAAGAAGTGAAACTCCAAGGGGAGAGTTTGGCAGGTTTCCCCACCCTGTTAGCAAGTGGTGGCAGTGGAAGATGCATGTGGAAGTTGCTGACTCACTGTTGCAGTTGTCTCACTACCACTCTTGGGCGGACAGGAGGTAGGAATGGTGCTCTAGGGAGAGAGGGGGTCCATACATTTGGGCTGAGCCATCTTTGGACAGGCACTGCAGCAGCAGACAAATCCAGAGAAAGACTGGGCTAGCTTTTATATGCCCTTTCTGAATAAAACCAAACCCTAAGCTACTGGCTGCACCAGGCAATGGTGCGTGGCATGACAGGGAACGGGTAAGCTTACTACTTAAAACATCACCTTCCTCTTCTACCTTTGAAAAGACTCCCTTCCTTCCTTCTTCAATGTGAGTGATCACTGTACTCCCGCTCTTTTTTTATACAGGGAATTTAGAATGGCAAAATTCATCAAAAAGAAGGAATGTTCAAAGAAGCACTCAATTCCAAGTCACAGAAGGGGTGACCTGTCAACCCCTTCATGAGCAGGAAAACATGCTAGAGTAAATAGTCACGTTCCTGAAAGAGGTAAAATCAGAGCGCAATTTTACATACACTTAAGAGTATAAGTAACTGGCAGAAGTTGTAATGAATTCAAATAAACTATTCACGAAATACTTCTTATGTTTTTAATGCCTTTGTTCTTTGAAATTCTGTGCCTGCATTTCCAAAGCAGTGAACATTAATGTGCTCCAACATTGGAGAGGTGTGGGTGCTCAGCAGCTCTAAAGCAGCTCTAAAAATCAGTCTTTCATTAATGACCAATCTAGTTTTAAAAAATTAAAAACACACACAGCTATGGAAAGAAGAGGTAAGCAACTACAATATTTTTTAAATTTATATTACATATAAATTATATATGTTATATATTACTTTTATATATATTACTTCTATTTACATTCTTGCTATTCAAGTAACAGTCAAATGCTACCAAGCTAATAAAGATACAAGCACAACAAGTTAAATAACCTAAAATTAATTATTTCCAATCCTAGATGACACTTGGTTGTTTCAGAGAGCAGGGCACTGAAATGATCTGCCTTCAAACAGCCTTAGAAGTTGCAGTAGTACCTAGTTCACTTTTGACGTCACGCAAAGCAAGGACTGGAAACACATGAGGTAAGATATAAATAGAGCACTTCTCTGTGGAGAAAAGTCAACATTTCACCTTGTGAAGTCTGCTATGGATTTTGAACAGGATATGGTGGTAACAGCTCATTTTCCTTGCTATTACCTGCGCAATGTAGAAAAGATGTGCAGAGGGGATTTCACCTTTTTGTCAGACACCTTCTTGTTGTGCGTACAATTAGATTTCTCTTTGCTGTTCTTCCACTGTTGTGTAACAAATGTCTGCATGATTCTGCAAATTAAGAAAGAAAATTTTCTTATCCTAGCCAAGACATACTCCCTTTAATATTAGGGTCTCTCTGCTCACCTCATAGGCAACATGATACAATGTCCTCACTCTACAGGCAGAGTTGTTCTGTCACATATGTGGACTGATGACTGGGTGCCTCAGCTCCTCAAAAATGCTTTTTTTTTCCAACATAAAACTAATTTACATGGAACTCTTACTGAGAATACAGTCTGTGTAAACAATCACTGCAAGACTTATAGAGGTACACCTCTCATGGAGATCTAGAGACAAACTGATTCAAAGGCAACCCATCCAACTATAGGCATCTGTCTCTCCAGTGGCTGCAGAGGTAGGCTACAGCATCCACACTGCTCAAGTAGGAGCATATGCTCCTAAGGTACAAACATGAACATAGGGACGTCGAATATTACACTACCCAAAGAGGGTTTACAGAGAAGACAGAGTCACACACTTCCCAGAGTCGGACCAAAAGTTGTAGTAAGCAAAGCTAAAAAACATAAAGGCTATAAAAACAAGACATCCACAAGAAGAGTGGTTAAGTACAACAGGTTGCTCACAAAGGCCGAAGATTTCACAGCCCAGCTGCCTTAGACTCGGAGTGAACTAACCTAACTCTGAAGTTAGTGTTACTTGGAGCAGAGAGTTGCACAAAGTGACCTCCAGATGTTCCTTTCAAGCCAAACTACTCTGTGACTCATCTAGCTGTGGGGGTCCTTGTGTGATGAAGTCGAAGTGGAAGTTGGTATGGACTTTATCGAAAATTCAGGGAATCTTCAAAGATTAATACCCTGTTGCCACAGCAATGAGGGGCTGTGGGGTTCATGTGTTTTCTGCTCAACCATGAATTAATTATGCAGCAATGTCCTTGAAAATGTCTTATGGGAACCTTTAGTAATTACCAGGTGCACAAATCAGAGACAGTGTAAGTATCAAAACATTTTAAGAGACTTTTCATGTCTGGGGAGTGTTTAATTTTTTTTCTTAAAAGGTATGCACAGTAGAGATTTTAACAACATTGCTTCATTTTTAGGATTATGAAAACATTGCACTGAAACACCAAACAGCAAAATATTTTTTTTCTTATGGGATTCTTAATGTTGTAATGGTCAGATATTAAAGCCTATACTCTTGTCATTTTGTTACACATACACAAGCATATGTGAACAGATGACTCAGCAAAATTTTATTAAATGGAATTGTACCATAAACATATGAAACTGCTATTTTTTTTCAACTACTCTTCCCTCTTGTCCCTAAAACATGGTTGGCCTAATTACTGTGGTACATCCTAGAAGCCACCATGAAAGCATAGTCCCCCTCACAGTATGCATGATGTTCAAAAAGATTTCTGCTCCAGAGGCTTCACCATCTAAGCAGAAACATGAAATTGAACACTCATAGCTACAGTCTTTTGAACTTTTGTAGCTTACTTCCTAAATGACAGCAAAGTGACAGAAAACCCCGGCAGACAGCACGAATCAGGTTCTCCTCAACAAGTGTCAAAACTTAAAAAAGGCAAATCGTGTTTTTTTTATTTCAAGAAGAACAAGTTCAAAACACTTTAATCCAACCAACCTGACAAACTGAATTTTATCCTACTTGACATGGTCCAGGAATCAAAAAGAGTGCAATATTTGCCTAAAAAGAGCAGTTTACACTTTCCTAGACTTACTTTTTCAGCTGATGTCCCAGCCCAAATCTTTCCTTAGTAGAGATCTGAAATACATCCACAGTTGGCACTACGGAAAAAGGAGATATTGTTGACGAACTTAGAGCAATAACTGAGAATTCATGACCATATAAGTCATATTTAAGGACCCTGTTCTGTCTGGATCTTTACTATAGACAATGCCAGCAATGCTGAAAGTGAACATGCCACCTAAGCCTATTAAGAAATTAATGGTCCTTTTTGGAATATCAGCCAATATAATTTGTATTTTTACTAATTAGTATTTTAGAAATTGAATTTTCCCAAATGTATCCCTTCACACTAATTTTAATTACAATATTATGCAAGTACTAGAGAGCAGTACCATATTAAACGTATCTGGACTGGTAACTCATCTCGCCTAATCTCTTCGAGTTTTTTCCAAGTAAGTAGTGTTTATACACCACAGTATCTCTGACTATGAAGAAAACCCAGAGAGGAATAAACTGAATTAATTAGTATCTAGGTTTTCCTTCTGAGGGCATTTTAATGCAAGATTCATAATCGTCATCCAAGTGCCTGATGTATGAAATCAAGTGGCCAAGGATTACCCTGAATTTTCCTCAAGACCTGTCCTAACACTGGTATACCCATACTCATGTGTCAGAAAATTGAAAGTGTACAGGGTGAAGGCTGGAAATTAGCTCCTGGTATTACTAAAAACTTTTAATAACATTTACTAGATAGAAGTAGCAGATGGAATCCAGCACTTGTTGAGAGAGCCTCAGGTTCTCAAGGCAGGACAACAGCCAACATGTATTACAAGAACGAACACACTTTATACCTTGTATTACATAATATGGTAATGACTACAGTAACACAAAAAGGGAATGAAAACAAAAAATCTGGGTTGGTTCAAATTTTATTAGTAAAACTAAATCAGCACTTTGAAATTTATATTATTTTGATCACTCAGAAAGCCATATTTTATTTAGAATGTTGAAATGTTGAAAAATACAATATACCTAACCTGTCCATCCAATTTCTCTTAGTTCAAAGCCCTGTAGATACCCTTTCTCTAATGTTATTACTTAAATATAATCTCACCTTTTAAAGACAAACTGATGATTTTTTCAAAAAGGATGAATGACTTCATTAGGAGTAACAATCAATGTCTTTAGATTGTCAAATTTAGGACACGTAGTAGAAGGGTCATACCTAGACAAGCAATCTTAAAATCTGACATCTAGACTGTAACAGTTGGCTAAGCTCTACAGCCAGAGCAAACAGCGCAATACCTCCAATGCTGATTCATAGTTAGATCTAAGACAGATTTCTAAGGCATGTGGGAGAAACTGTCCACAAGCACAATGAGACAAGCTATTAATTCGATAAATGACTATCTAAAATCAGGATATTACACAGCTAAAAGGTGGTACTAATACCCCTCATTGTGCTTTGGAGTATACCGCATTTCTGTTTCTTTTATCAACCAACATAAAGTACTATAGGAAAAAAAGATGTAGCATAAAGTTATGCCCCAGTAGTCTCAAAAAAACATATTTAAGGGGGAAGAGGAATTCACAGAGAAAGGGCCTTGCTAACATAAAAGACTGTGGATCTCATAGCTCTTTTCTGGTAAATAATGAGACACGGCTGCAACTGATGTTGAGCTCATCAAACCAGTATCATTGAAGCAGTCGCCTCTGGCCCTGATCTTGCCGTTCTTGGTACCGAGGCACTCCCACAGCCAGTCAGCTGCAGGACTGGGAATTCAGCTTCTCATTTTAACCTTGTCAACGGGGCAGAAGATATCGTGTTGTTACTTCTAATTTTGCTACATTACTTCTTACTGCATGCTGCTCTTCATGCTTCACCTTCTCTTATTTGCTGCACTTTTTTAAACTACATTTTGATAAAATATTCTGAATACTAACACTTCTACCTCCTATGGCAAATACATATTTTAAGATCTGCATATTTACAAAAAAGATTGAAGCAATAAAATACAGACAAAAAAGACCAAAGTCAAGCAAAAAAAAAAAAAATTGATGTAATGAAATGCTTATTTGAATGAACAGTTAGCATAGGCAGGCAACATATCCTCTAAAAATAGCTTGGTGGGACAGATTTTGCTAAACATATTATGCCTGGAAATATCTATTAATTTTCCAGAGGCAGAATTCTCCCACAGATTCAAGACTGAACTGACAGCTTGTACTGGAAGCCTCCAAAGCCAGGCAAGTTATGATCCAAACTGCAACTCAGTTCTGACTTCCCACTGTAAAAATATATCTGAAGTTGACTTTTGCATATGAATGTTTCCAATTCAAAACCAGTTGACCATTCAGGATTTTGACCAGCTTTACTCTCTTAAACCTCTCACTCAAATCTCAAGATTCCCAGAGTTCACACAGTCACAGAGAAAGGATAATTATCATGGCCTGATTCTTCAAAGGTGCATGAAAAAGGGCATATTAATGTGCTGCGCAGCCCTGTGTATATATGAGTGATATCTGATCTGTGCAGATGATGCCTGATTTCCAAAATCAGGAAATCACATAGAAGAAACTGTAGATCTCTATTCCTTAACCCTAGGTCCTAGGGGAAGGAGTTGCATTTCAAATTAGATCAGGAAAACAAGTTCCAAAAATCAGCCTATGGAAGTTTAAATTAGATGCCCATGTTATTGTCGAGGGCCTGGCCATGCAAATGTATGTAAGCATAATTTCAAACCAGCAGCACTGCTCTCAGCAGATCTAAGCACAAGCAGGGTCAAAGATTTGGCAGTGAATGAGTATCTATCGCCCAGTATATGGCTCAGACCAAGACACCACATAAGGTACATGAAGAATACACAGGTGACTAACCTGGACCATTTAAGTACTGTGTAAGTGAACAGTGCAATCGCACTATTATAGGCTCTGTGCGAATAACATCCCAAGCCACAGCAATCTCTTCCTAGATCAAGATAAAAAGAAAACAACAGACACCATTAGTCATCATAAGGAACTGTTGCATTTTGTAAGTCTATCTTAGGGTTGTTATAAACACCATCTGTCCACTTACCCAGTTGTGGAATATCTACTTCAACTTTAAACCTGAGACTTAGGATAAACTATTGCCCGCTGATGTCCCTAGGAGCAGTGTTAGACTGCTTCCAGTTGTTGAGTACAGCTGGAACTGAGCACAGGTTTATACACAACACTGCATCTACAATGCAGGCAGACACATTCCCATCTATCAAGAGATACTGCTTCAAAGCTGAGAAACAAAGGAGCAAAAAAAGATGGAAAGTAAACTCATCCCATGACATAGTGCAAAGGAAACTTCTGCTCCTTAAGACGGATTAAAATAATGCAAGGTATGATCAGACTTTCTTAAATTTTAGAAAAGCCCAAGAACAACTATCTGATATGCTATACTGACCTGAGACTATTACATATATTCTCATTATCCTCCGTCTGGAGAACAGAAGTTAGTGCACACATGGCATGAGGAAGTGTGGAGTTAATGACAGCATAACTGTTACAGAAACCTAACCTAATTAATGTCTAGAATAGCAAAAAAAAGACATGTATTTCACTTACATAATTTAAAACATTTACCATTTACAAAGCATGTTAGAAAGGAAATACATATGCAGTAAATAAAACCCTAAAAAAGCATTTTAACAATGTGATCATAAAAGGAAAAGTAAACCTTTCCACTGAGTAGCAACCTATAATGGGACAGTCACTTGTGAAGGTCAAGTCTACAAAAAGGCCAGCCTCAGTGGTTGTCTAGAGAGTCTGATGTGTAGCAGAATTAAATGGGTATTAATGTTCATTATGTAATTCTGTGATTAGATTACTTACATCAAGGAAGCTAACATCAATATGCAGATCAATATCTACATCATCAATGGCTCCATATTCCCTAAAAGGAAAGAATTACATTACATTAGAGCTCTTTAAGATACTCTCAATCCAGGAGTTCTTATAACAGTGAAGATTTTATAAAGGATAATCTTGTCTGTAAAATCAGAACAGTTATAAAATACACATTTACATAGATTGGATCAATATTCCCAGTGGGTGACTGTCTGCTGCACTGAAACTTTCTTTCAGAGGATCTAGCTTAAACAGGCTAAATCTTTTCTTACACTAATTCCCCCAAATTCTCTCTCCATTACAGCTATGTATTTTTGTCTCACACATTGCACAAATAAATCAAGAAAACAATAATGGTCACATGCTGCTCTTATTTATGGCAAAAGAAAACCTCAGTTAATTTTCAAAAGTATAACAGGTTAACAGCCAGTAATGTAAGGAAAGGCTTGAGATAAATCATTGAAGACAAATACAACATAGCCTAGAGGGTGGCTTATTATACCTGTGGGATTGCCTCATACATCCACGCATTTGTTTGTCAAAACATAAAAATTGCCCTGTAATGCACTCAAGACAATAGCTGCCTTATTTTATCTGTTATGTGTAATACTGCTGGAATCCCAGGGTTCAGATTTAACTTACACTCATAGGTGTTTCATTGACATCTGAAATCTTACATTTAAATTGTGACTCTTCTGCCTCTTATTTTCTGACTCATTATGATTCCCTTCCCCAACACGTTTGTAAATGTGCAATTGTACATGATTGTAAAAGTGCAATCACTCAATTTTCCACAGGTTAACTACTAGGTTGTTTTCTTTACGCTGTATTCATATCTTTGTTCTCACAGTGACTTCCACTCTTTTTATTAAAGTAGACTAAGACAGTTCACAGTAGCAATTGTGCATAAGTTGCTACAGTAATTTTTAAATACAAAAATATTGTTGTGAATATAACTGTCTCCTACCAAAGTGGCCTCTCAGTCCATGGCGGTACCTAGCTTGCACCGGAAGTACCTTGACCTCTTGTGAAGCTTGGTGGAGAGAATCCCTTCCACCAAACCTTAGTATCCCAATGGCTCCCCTCTGGTAAGGGCAAACCCAAAGTCCCTCTCTAGATCAGACTCGTCCACACATGGCACACATGGCAGGTAAACAGCTGGACAGGCCTGTGTTACCTGGAGGCTTTCCAGCCGGACAGCTGCTCTGAAATCTGCTCACCCAGAGCTACATGCACAGGCACTCACCGACCTCCTACAGCTACCTGGCTTTGAAACAGTGAAATTCTCCACCTACTGAATGGCTTCACCACTATCCTACACAACAGTGGCCTCAGACTTTTTTGGTTATTTTCCAGAAGATCCAAAGAACAGATTGTTATGAACTCTTAAGTAATATTTATGAATGTAGAGTGGTGTTACTCACATGACTGAGATTCAAAAGGCTGTGAACAAGCACAATTTTATAAATTAAACAGAAACATGGTTGCACTAACGAAACACAGGAACATCAGCAGAAGAAGGGTTAAGATCAAAATAGGTTATAACTGTGGAATTTCCATGTTCATTGAAATACCTCTGCCCCTGTCCATTACCATCCTAGAAAACGGATTATAGACACATAGTGCTGACTCTGGTTTTAATTTCCCAAGCTGCAACAAAGGAAAAAATCACGTTTTCTTCCAGCACCTGCAGCTTATGATGTGCTGCCTACAATGGCTCCGTGAACACATCTTGATTTTGAAGGTCCCAAAGGTCCTTTGTCCAGCAAGGTAAAGAGATATTGAAGAGTTTGGATCAGCAGTTCCAGAGGTCTTTCTCACATCTTCACTGGCCAGACTTCAAAGGGCAGTGGTGACATGGATGCAGGTATAGGAATTTCACTTTTATAGGTACAGTTGACTCTCTGCCAGCAGGAGACTACTGGAAGAGGGTCAACTGTCTACTGAATATGCATCTTAGTGGGTGTCACGGTCAGACAGACTTCTCTCTCCACAGAGAAGTGAATTTGCAGGAGAGGGATGAAATTGAATGTTTAACGCTGTGTTTGTCATTTCCAAGAATTTCTAAGTATTTTCAACTGTAACAGAGTGAAAGAAGCTTTAAAAGTTTTCCACATGCCAAAAGCAGCCACAGATGCCAATTTCTACTATAGTGAGTTCAAGGAGATCACAATGCTTCCAATGAAACAGTTGATTTAATAAATTAGATGCATTCAAGTTTTTGAAAGGTTACATATAATGTTTCAGTTTTAGGAGCTTGAGGGTGCCTATTATCGAGGTTTCCTCAATTTCATAGTTATCAGTTTGACGACTAAACATTTATCTCATTCATTTCCTAAACCCATATACAACTACTATTCAGTTTTCAATTCCCCAGGTCCTTGAAATGTAATGAAATTTACACTTAATTTGAAAAGGTATAGTACATCACAGTTGTAGACATGCTCTCTCTTCTTAGACAAGAATAACAGAGCCTATCGTTTAGAGGTTAATGGGAATTGTCACTTGCAATATACATATGCCTAAGGTTATTATCTTTTCTGTATATTATTACTTGATTGGTATGACAACTTCGATAATTTTCTTTGTAAAAGATCTGACAGGTCTGTTACATCTTGCCTACCTGTTATTTTTATGAAATTATTGGGATTACATAGGTGGAAAATGAAGTTATAGAAGACCTGAAGCGCATTAAAAATATCATACAGTAATGACCTATGGCAGAGTCATGCACACTTATATATGCCCAACATAATTTTTGTGTAATTACTCTTTCCAATCCACCTCAAACTGAAGTTTCACCACTTCCCTGTGTAGGATACTTTAGATTCCCACAATGAGAAAGCGTTCCTAAAACTTAATCAAATTCTTGTTTGTTGCTAACACAGATAGTTTCTTATTGTCTCTCTCATGACAACAACTGAGAACATTTGATCACTCCTCCTATCTAGAAATGGTTTTTTTGAAGAAGAACTGTTATTTAGTCTCTTTTTTCCAAACTAGACAAAACAAATTCCTTCATT